ACCCGTGAGGTCCATTGCAGGTCTTTGGGTGTGATTTAGCTTTCTCTGCTAAGCTTGGATTGACTTGAGTGTTTTGGATGAATCGAGTTCGCCATCCCAAAATTTAGGATTACTTTAGTTGCCCTTCGGTGTTTGTCGGGGGAGCGTTGTAGCAACTATTGGTGCTTCTTCTGTTTTCCTTAGTCGTGAGCCCCCTTTGTGCTCTGGGTTGCCGTAGCCGTGGGTCTTACTTGTGCTTTGGATGTGGGCTTTTGCAGCTGCTCTTTGCTGCCTTAAGCCGTGAGCTTTAACAGTTCTTTCCTGGGTCCTTTGTTGTCTTAACCGTAAGCCTTATTTATTGTCTCTTGGACTGCCTTTGGTTGTGGTTCTTGGCAGTTGTCCCTTGCTTTAACCGCGAACCTCTTTTGGCCCCGTTCTTTGCCTTGGCCGAGAGCTTTGGTGGTTGTTTCCTCCTTTTTATTGACCCTGGCCGTGAGTGTTTATCTGGTTTTATGGGAAGATTTCTGTGCTTACTTAATGTATGGAGTTATGGATTGAGTTGGAAGAATTTCGAACTTAGTACGGGTTTGGAAGTATTGACAGTGGTTTTCCCCGCGATCATTTTCCTTCGAAGTTTGGAAACTTTTAAATCTCATTTTGGAAGAATATTTAGTTGATTTGATTAGTCCTATGTCTTTGGGGTTTGGAGAATCAGCGCGAGGAGATATTTTGTGTTTGTCAGGAAAGACCCCGGGCCCTACTTTTCCAGGTCTTTTCGATACGAGTTTTTGAGAACTGATCCAATCTCCTTTTCGGTGTTTTAGATGGATCGGTGTCTCCTCTCTCTCACCCCATTTTTGTTCTATTATTTCCTTGCGTCTTGGTTCGGTTTTCGATGCTTATGCCCGATGCATAAGTGTCCACGTATAGCCTTTTGCTATACGTGAAACCATCAAGCAAGGTCGCAAGTAGTCGTTTTGGGGCGTACGGTGTTGATGATAAAGACACACCGAAGATAGAGCGGAAAGATACCTTATTCTATAACATCAAGATCCAGACATTTGATGAACAATAAGATATGGTATCCTTCACCGACATAAGTCTAGCGGTAGTCGGCTCGAACCTCCTCAGGTTGTTGGCAATTCTATGCCCGATAGCGTAATCGACTCGTGGATAACCAAAATAAAAGAAAAGATAAGTTTTTGATAAATTATTTTCAAACAAAATATGCGTTTCCACAAAACAAAAATGAATAGCTCTTCTTTGCATGCCTAAGAAGTTGTGTGTATGGCAGAAACATAAATTTTAAAAATACATTTTAAACTTGGTTGTCCACCTGACGAATACCTGTTTAGGCTGGGAAATAGCCCCTAAGTGAGGTTCAAGACACACTTCTAGACGAGTGGTGGGTTCTATACGTTCGGGTGACCGAGTAGCCTTCGTGGATCCTCGAGAATAAATATATCTGAGCCTAGTCCCATACGAGTGCTTGCGGTCCCCCTCATCCGAATTTTGTTTCTTTGTTTTATCGAAGCTTTGGGACAGAGCACTCGTGTTACTTCTTCTTTCTTTCGGGATTTCCCCAAAAGTTTTGAGGATTTTCTTTCACTTGAGTCTCTTTCGTTGATTTTCTCGAGTTCTTCCGTTTTTTCTCGGATTTCTTGGACGACATTTCTTTCGGGATTTAATTTTTGAGATGCATTTAGGTTTGCTATACTTAAGGGACAACGGATCTCACAGGCGTACAGGTTTGCTTTACATGGTTTGCTTTACTTGCTTTACATTTTACAACACTTAATTTTCCTGTTTCAACCTGCTACTGCTCTTCTTATACAGCATGTTACACTTGTCCTGTTTCTAGCTGTTACTATTCTTCCTGTATAGCATGTTTTCCTGCTGCTACCTGTCGTTCTTCATGTATAACATGTTACACTTGTCCGGGTTCTACCTGCTACTGTCTTTTATGTATAGCATGTTGTACTGCTCCTGTTTCTACCTACTACTGTTTCACTTGCATGCTACTGTTCATTCCTGTATGACACGCTTTATATTTTATAACTTTAAACATGTTTACCCTTTTTACATAGGATGTTTAGAGGACTACAACCATAGGGCCGTTTGATTTGATACTACAACCGGACACTCTAGAAAACTTAAACTCGTCACGTC